TCTAAATATGTCCTAGAGATGAAATCAATCTTTTGTAGGTCACAACTAGTTGAATCTTTTTTGTTTCTCTATTTGGTTTTTCTATGTTTTTTGATTGGAGAATTTAATCCATTAATCTTCATTGAAATTGTTGATGGCTAAGTATGTATTACTGTTACTTTATTTTTTTAGAATTGTTTGATTGAATCTTCCTTCCTTTTTTCTCTTGCTGTCTTTGTGCTTCAAAGATGTGTTCTTGTGGTATGCTTTACTTTTTGTTTCTATATGTCTGCTGAAGAATTTTTCTTGGTAGTTATGAGGATTACAAAGGTATTTTGTTATTATTATTATTAAAAATTTATTGTAGGGCTTGGCACGGTAGCCTGTTGGTTAAAGTCCTCGCCTTCCATGCACCAGGATCCCATATGAGTGTCGGTTTGTATCCTTGTTGCCCCATTTCCCTTCCAGTTCCCTGCTTGTGACCTGGGAAAGCAGTAGAGGATGCACCAAAACCTTTGGCCCCTGAACTCAAGTGGGAGACCCGGTAGAAGCTCCTGGCTCCTGGCTTCGGATTAGTTTAACACCTATCATTGCTTGGAGAGTGAACCAGCAGATGGAAGATTTTTTTCTGGATGGAAGATCTTTCTCTCTGTCTCTCCTTTGTTCTCTAAATCTGATTTTCCAATAAAAATAAATAAATCTTTTAAAACAATATTATAATTGAAGGGTGGAGTTACCAAGAGAGAGGAAGAGGCATGGTGCAGGGAAGTGAGAGAGAAAAACCTTCCTTTCTCTTGTTTATTCTTCAGATTGCTACAGCATCCAGGTTTGACCAAGCCAAACCCAGGAAGCCAGAGACCAGGAGCTTCTTCCATGTCTCCCATGTGGGTGGCAGGGTCCCAGGGCATTTGGGACAACTTCCTCTGCTTCTCCCATGCCACTAACAGTGTGTTAAATTGGAAGTGGAGCAGCTAAGACACAATTAGATTGCCTTTAGAGATGCCAGCATTGCAGATTTCAGCTACACCTGCCACACCATGAAGTCGGCCTCCTGTTTTATTGTCATAATAGCCTATTTTAAACCAATAATGGCCAAACTTTGAACGCATTAAAAATTAACTTTTTTCCATCTCTACCACATTTTTATATTATGCATGCTTTTGTGAATTATTCTGGCTACCAATATTTAAAATGCTTTCTTCCAAATTATGTATTAATAGTAATACATATACATCTTTGTGAGATATAGTGCAATATTTCAACACCTATACACAATGTAAACCAATTAAACCATAGAACTAACCTTTTCACTGCCTTATCTTTTCTTTGTGTTAGGAGCTCACCAGTTACTCTCCTTCAGTTCTTCATGTTGTGTGTCATATTTTATTGTGAACTGTAGTTGGCCCTCTGCTATGAAACACTGTAATATGTTACTGCTGAGTATATGTTATTATTTTAAATAGTTTTACCTTTTAATGTTCATGTTAAAGCTTTCATTGATGTATATATGCTACTATCACAGTATTAGTGTATTTTTAATTTGACAGTGAGTTTCTTTTTACCAGTAAATTTCATGCTCTTACATGTCTTCAGCCTGAACAACTCTGCTTAGCATTTCTTGTAAGGTTAGTCTAGTACTGATGAGCTTCCTCCAATTTTGTTTGGGACAATCTGTATCTCACCTTTCTTTTTTAATTATGTAGACTTAAAATGATTATTTATTTGAAAGACAAAGAGAGAAGAGACAGAGGACTTCCACCTACTGATTTACTCTGCTAATGCCTGCCAGCTGCTAGGATTGGGCCATTCAGAAGCCAGGAGTCCAGAATTCACTGTGTCTTCCATGTGGGTGGGAAGGACCCAACCACTTGGGTGCCCTTCATGTTGCACATTAGCCAGAAGCTGGAATCAGAAGCAGAACTGGCATACCTAGCAGCATCTTAAATACCATGCCAAATGTGCAGCACTTTCCTTTATTTCTTAAGGATAGCTTTGCTGGATGTAGTTGGTTTTTTTTTTTTTTTTTTTTGATTGACATTTTGTTCCCTTTTTTCTTCTCTGAATATGTATCATCTTGTTAAGGTTTTTGCTGAAAAGTCTGCTGCCAGTCTTCTTAGAACTCCCTTGTGTGGGCTTTGCTTCTTTCCTCTTACATCTGTCTGGGTCCTGTTTGACCATTAGGCATTTTTATGTAATCTTCTTTGAACTGAATCAGATTGAACCATGGACCTTCCTGTATCTGAATATTTGGATCTTTTCAGAATTTGGAAAATTTAGTTATAATTTTTTAGATATTCTTTTCTTCTTTGAACTCCCACAACTCCTTATTTTCTCTTCTGATCCTGTCCTGTAAATTCTGAAGACTTTCTTCTTGTTTTCCATTCTTTTTTCTCTCCTCATAGTATATTTTGAAACAATCTGTCTTCACACTCATATTTTTTTCCTTATTGATCATCTGTTGTTCAGTGCTCTCTTCAGAATTTTTCATTTTATTTGTTGTGTTTCTGAGGTTCAGATTCTCTGAAGTGTTTTTATAATTTCAGTTTGTCCATTTAGTTTCTCATGTAAGTCATTAACTTTTTTCTGTGATTTTTTTGAAGTTTAGTGAGCTTCCTTAAAATAATTGTGTTGAATTCTGTGGCAGTTTATTTGTTTACTTAAAATTAATTTGGAGCCAGCTGCTGGGAAGGCATTGTGGTTATTGGCAGTGTTATTTCCCCTTGATTTTCCTTTTTTTGTTGTTGTTGCCCTACATTGATGTTTACATTTAAAGAAATAGAAACCACCTTGGTAGGTACACTATGATTTTTTTTCTTTTTTTTTTTTTTTTTTGTGGGAACCCTCCTTGGTGTCCACCTATCTAGAGATTCCAGCAATCTGTCATGGTCTGTGAAAGTGCATGCTTGTAGAATCCTTAGGCAACCTCGTCTAGTGTATGTGTCAGTAAATACTTAGACACTGAACCTGGGTCTACTATGGTGGTGAAACTGTTGATTGACTTTCCAGGGTTGGTCTTGGAGCTCCTAGCTGTGGGGACTGATTTGGGTTAGGCCTCAATCTTTTGTCAAAAGAGGACTTTTAAAATACTGAGATGAGCCTGGAACCTGATTCAAGGGCTGGCCCACTGTCAGTGGGGTGGTGCTTATTTTGAGTACTGTGGGGTGGTCCTCATGGGTGGACCGTTGACTGTTTATATTTATCTGTTTATGGAGGATAACATCTTGGCCCTGAGCTATACCATGGCAAACATTGCCCAGGGTTCTATTGGAGCATTATATTGAACAGATTGGCCTGGAAGTTATGACTTTGACTGACATGGTACTGGAAAAGCCTGAAATTTGTGTCCAAGTGTGCCTGCCTGGTATGTTAAACCAAGTATCTCCACTTGGCACTTTGATAAGCTGAAGTTCTTACCTGGTCCTATGATGGTCACCTCTATCTTTTACATTCTTGTCAAGGTGAAAGAGTATGTAAAATTTCTGCTTGGCAAGGGTTGTTGCTTGCTTTATATACTCAAATCTAGTAGATTGAAGAAAAGTCATGGTTTTTGCACATTGGCCATTTTGTTGTTAGGTTGGGGAGTGTTATTATGTGTTATTTTCCAAATTAAGTGGATCTATTTATCACCTTTAACTTTCTTCTTTTTAAAAACATAAATAATAGAAGAACAGTTTTATCACTATTTTTAATAATTACAAATAATATTCTGTTTGCCATCTTTTTCTAACCCTTTTGATTTGTTATTAAAGTAAAACCTGAGTATTTTTACTTGCACAGTCACATTTGTTAGATTGTTGTTAGTACATAATGCTTTTTATGATCAAATAGTGCTCAAACTTGGTAAGCAGATTGAAATAACTAAGGAACATTCGTTTGTCTGTCTTTTCCCTTATGTTTGAATTCTTCAGATTGTTCCAGTCAAACTTGATTTGAAAGTTATACGTTCTTGCGTTACCAGAAGTCAAATTAACTTTCTGTATTTCTGAAGCCAAACAATCAAAGATGGTATTTTTAATGTTTTGGAGCCTATTTTTAGAAATATGTTGCAAATTAGAGAAATTGTAGACTTTTTTTTTTTAAAGATTTATTTTTATTATTTATTTATTGGAAAGGCGGATATACAGAGAGGAGAGACAGAGAGGAAGATCTTCCGTCCGATGATTCACTCCCCAAGTGAGCGCAACGGGCCGATACTATGCCGATCCGAAGCCAGGAGCCTCTTCAGGGTCTCCCACGTGGGTGCAGGGTCCCAAAGCTTTGGGCCGTCCTCAACTGCTTTCCCGGGCCACAGGCAGGGAGCTGGAAGGGAAGCGGGGCTGCCGGGATTAGAACCGGCGCCCATATGGGATCCCGGGCGTGCTAGGCGAGGACCTTTAACCACTTGCGCCACCGCGCCGGGCCCAAGAAATTGTAGACTTTTTAAGAATGGTTTATTTGAAAGTCAGAGTTACAGAGAGAATAGGGAGAGAAAGAGTGAGAGATTGTTGGAGACAAGGAGACAGAGATTGGGGAAAGGGAGAGATAGAGAGAGATCTCTCCAAGTGACCATAGTGGTTGCACTGGACCAGGTGAAAGCCAGCACCCAGGAGCTTCATTTGTATTTCCCCAGTGGGTTGAGGAGCCCAAGGATGTGAGCCATCTTCCCCTGCTTTCCCACAAGGAGCTGGGTTGGAATCAGAGAAGCTAGTGTTTAAACTGGTGCCTGTATGGATGCTAGCATTGCAGGTAGCATTCTTAACCCATTATGCTAAAACACTGGCCCTGAAATTGTAGAATTTTAAATCAAAGAAATATCCTCAGAAACATGTTTTATTGATTTTGATATGAATATCAGAAAGAATACATACAACACTTTTAAGATGTAATGTGCTGTGCAAAGTTTTAATATGTAAGTTGGAAAATCGTATTTTTATTTTTTATTATTTTTATTCTCTGATTTTTTTTTGTGTATAAAATTATGCCTATATATCTGAGACCACCACCAGGAAACCAATTTTTTTCTTATTTGTTGTTTTCCACAGAAAACTGCATCAGCAGTTTGAAATGTACAAGGAGCAGGTAAAGAAGTTGGGAGAAGAATCACAGCAACAGCAAGAACAGAAGGGTGATGCTCCGACCTGCGGAATCTGCCACAAAACAAAGTTTGCCGATGGATGTGGCCATAACTGTTCTTATTGCCAAACAAAGTTCTGTGCCCGTTGTGGAGGCCGAGTATCATTACGATCAAACAAGGTACAGCAGTGAAAAACTACATTTCATATTTCTTTTTCAGTTACAAAATAAAATAGGTAACTAAAATTACTCTTGCGGTTAACGCACGAATGAAAACTTTCTCTTATCACCTTTATCTTAGATAAAAAGTTATACTACAAATTTCCATTGGATTGAAATTATTTTCCCTTGCTTTATGTCAGTTTGCGTATCACTTTAATTAGAATTATAGGATCTTGCACTTTCAAAGATGATGGCAGAAGTTTAGAGACCTTGGGAAAGAGTCTATTTTTAAAGCCATAGAACTGATTAATGGTACAGTTTTGACATAATTTTGTTCATTGTGATATATTCTTTTATAAATTTGATAGAGTTGCTTTTCCTTTGGTAAATTTCCTTGTATTTTCAAAGTAGCTCTCCAGGTTTGTGATTGTTTTTCATAATTTTATAGGTTTTGAAGATACTGTACTCATTTTTAAAAAATTATTATCTTATTTTGGTAATCTTTACATAGTTGATTAGGGCACAAAGGGTCAAGAGCTAGAGGAAAGTGGGTAAGATCATTGTTTCCACATTATTTTTAATTTTTTCTGTATCTGGGGTGAGAGGGGAGATAAAGGCAGAAACCCCGCTCATCCTCCCATCCACCCAGGGTCCCCGATGTGGGGCATGCGCCTAAGGCACTGCTCAAGTGGTTTTGAGAGTTCAGCAGTTCTGAATTGCTGCCAATTTCGCCATTCCATGCATGATGAAATCTCTCCAGAAGCCACCGGCCGACATAGTCCATCTTAGATTCTCCGTTTGTCCAATTTTTATTGCCAACCCATGGCTGGCGTAGTTGATTCACTTATTCTGTCATCCATCCTCTGTTGTGGTACCAAGTGTCCTCTGCAGGTTCCGATGGACTGCTGTATTCTCCATGTGTACCTGGATATGCTGTCCACTGCTCTGTCTAAACCACTGAGGAGGCTAAGCTTTGACATATGCACTCCATGGTCAGACCATGGAACTTGCACTTCTCTTCATGGTTGGGGTTCTGAGATCAGCAGTTCAATTGGAAGGATCCCTAAAGAAACTTCATCTGAGGTGATCCCAGACCTGATTTTTGTGTGTAGAGGGTCTAGCATAGTCTGTCACCCCAGTCAGCTTATGCACATGTTGGTAGTTGCAATTTCTGGGTCATTTCTGTTTCCAGCCCTGACTTCTACATGAACCAATGGGTGTTGGAGTCTAGCCTGATCCTGCCCACCACACTTGGCCCTCATGCAAACCAGTGGAAGCTGCAGCCTACTTGGAGCGACGTGGAATTACCCCTACCAGGGCTGCCCCCATCCTAGTTTCTGTGCTTGGCAGAATCTGCAGCAGACTGGTCCCGTCTGCCCCACATCCCTTTCAGCTCTCATACATGTCAGTAGGCATTGAAACCTAGTTCAAACTAACCAGTTCCACTATCCAGCCATGCACATGCTGGTGGGTGCTGTTCTGTCCAGCCACCCCATCCTCAGTTCTGGTTTTCATGCTCTCTAGTGAGAACAGTAACCCAAGAGGTAGGTGCCCACTATTTCCCTCCTAGGCCACTCCCATTCCCAGAACATGCACTCTCCAGGTGGTTCTGCAGTTTAACTTGACAGAATTAGCTACCCCCCTGCTAGCATCTGCTATCTGATGCTGCGGTGAAGCCCCACCAACCCTCATGCACTCTGATTTATGCTTGTACCAGTAAGAACAGTCAGCCTAGCCTGGCTTTTTCCTGATATAGCTCAAATGAGGCCCACAGGTGTTGTAGCCCTGCCTGGTCCGGCCTGGTTTACCCCCATCCCAACTCATGCTCTCCAGTGGGAGTGGCTGTCCAGTAAGGGAGCCCTCTACATTCCTCCTATCAGCTTTGTCCCCTCCTCCTCTGGTTTTCACGTGTGCTGGTTGGGTGCTGTGGCCTGGTCTAGCATGGCCCACCTTGCCTCAGCATTTGCCAGTGGGTGCTGTAGCTTGGCCTGGTCTACCTAGCTCATGCTCGTGAGGGTTACAGCATAGCCCAGCCTAACCGGCATCCAGTCCCAGCCGTAATGTATACTAGTGTGTGTTGCAACCAAACTTGGCCCAACCCACACTCTATTCTGGTGCTCAGATTCACTAGCAAGTGATGTGAACTGGTTCAGCCTGGTTGCCCCCTACCTATGCCAAATGTATGCCAGTGGGTACCATTCTTTGACCTGGTCTGGGCTGCTGCCTATCATGGTTCTTGTGCTCACCTGCAGGGACTGTGTCCCAAAGGGGAGTTTCCAAGCTCCTCCATCAGAACCTCTCCCAATGTCAGATCTCGCGCACATTGGTGGTTCTATGGACCAATTCTACTTAGTCCACCTCCTGTCCTGGCAGGAACAATGGCCTTTCCTGACTGGCCTTCAACCCATTCCTGTTCTTACTGTTGAATGTTTCAGCCCATCCAAGGCTCATCCATACCCAGAAATGGCTCACACATGGCTCAGTAGGGGCAGAGACCTAGCCTAGTTTGTCCTACACCTACCCTGGTCCTCCAGAACACTAGATGGTGCTGGCGTCTAGTCCAGTTCACTATGCTCAACCCCAATCCACATTTGTGCCGAGGGACACTGCAGCCATATCTGGACCAGAACACAACCCCCACTCTGGCTTCTGCATTCACCAGTGGGAATCCCAATTCAGCCAGGGTGTACCCTTAGCTCCCTGACTAGGCCTGTTTCCAGCCATAGATCATGTACGTGCCAGTGGTTGCTCTGATCCAGCTTGGAATAGTGTCCTACCTCTCTTGGCCTTTACCTTAGATGCTGTAGCCTGGCCTGACCTGGCCTGCCCCTATTCCCAATTCTGGCTGGTTGGTGATGGAACCTGGCCCTACTCAGTCTATTCCCATCTCTGGCTCATGCAAACCAGTAGGTGTAAGAGCCTAGCTTGGCATGACCTGTGTTCTAGCCTAATTTCTGTTCTTGTTGGTGAGCTAAGGTTTGCCTGGCCCTGCCCCGTCCACCCCTTCTCAACACCAATCCATACATTAGCCAACAGTTGGAGCTACTTTGCCTAGCTTGCCCAACCCCCAGGCCTGGACCATGTGATCGTCATTGAGAGTTATGACCCACTAAGGGAGTTTCCCAAGTTTCCCCACTTGACCCACTCCCTGACCCAGATCTCATAGATGGCAGTGGGTATTAGGCCAATGCCCGGCAAAGTCTGCCTTTCTATCTTTGCGTTGTATGAGCTGGTGAACGTTGCAGCCTGGCCCACCCCACACCCTGTCTTAGGATGAACATTCGGGTGCTGCAGCCTGGAACTGCCCAGATTGTTGTTGGTCTCTTTACCCATGAGTGATTAGGTTCCTAGCTCAGCCCATCACCACCCCAACTCTTGAGCTAAACAATGGGACTTATATTTCCACAGGGTTGGGGATCTAAGCATCCCCCACAGGATCTAACTCCAGACCTGGTTCTCTTATGTGCTAGTTAGTGTCATGGCCCTGCCTAATGTGACCCATCCCCTGATCCAACATTCTATCAGGTACTAGCATCTGACCTTGCTAGGCAGACCCCCAGCCTTAGCTAGCATCTGACCTTGCTAGACAGGCCCCCAGCCTTAGCTTTTGCATGGATTGGCATGTGGTGGTCAGTATTGTTAGGTGGTAACAAGTCTGCACAGGACTCACATGTATGTTGGTGTATCAGTCTGACCCATACAGATCGTCTGGTCTTTCCCCTCTAAACCACCAGGTCTCAGTACCCTTGCTTACCTTCAAGGAAAAGTTACTCTGACATTGAGAGTCCCTCAGGATTAATTCCTCACCAACATGCACAGTGGTCTCATTCATGGACATACCTAGGTAGCAGTTCCACAACCGCAAGACCCCAGAGCTCGTGGCCAGCAGGTGGACTCTGGAGCCAGTTGGTTCACTGGTCCCCCAGGATTTGCTCACTGCATGGTAGCAGTGGCTGAAGCCAGGGCCCCAAGCACTAAGTCTGACCTGGCTTGGGTGCTCCCAGCAGCCTAGTGCTGGAAACTCTCTGTACCCAGGACCCAAGGTCGAATTCTGAAGCTACTGTCCTCTTTAACATTACTTAAATAAGTCATTCAACGTGAAATTTAAAGAAGAAATGTTAAGGTTTTTTTCCCATAATTTCACTAGAATGTTATAGTTTATTCCTCACTTTTGATAATAGGTTAATGCTACTTAAAGACTGTTTTGCTGAAAGCAACAAATTATCCAAAGAATGTTTGCCTTAGTAAATATTTTAGAATTTGCTTTTGTGTCTTCATTAATGTCTTTATCCTATTTATTCACTTAGGTAGCTTTTAACTAGGAAGTTTATATGTTTAAATACATTGTTTAGATTTAATTTTAGAATTAGTTCATCTGTGTGATTTCATTTCTTCATATTTTGTTTTCCTTTCCTTTCCTTATTATTTTGTTTAGAATTGGTATTAGTTCATTTGTTGAAGTTTAATAGACTTCATCGACTTCATCACTGAAGCCATTTGGAAATATTTTGCTTTCATTTGTTTGAAAGATTTTAAATATAATTTTAATTTTCTTAATAAACATATTTTATTCAAGTTATCAGTTTTTTCTTGAATCAATTTTCATAGCTGTGTCTTTCAGGGAACTTGTATAATTGTGAATAGTTATTTAACGGCATAAAAGATTCATAGCATTTGATTATGAGTTTTTTACTTTCTTAGAAACAGCAATGATGCCACTTTCAATTTTTATATGGGTAATTTGTGTCTTATGTCTTTATGTGCTATTAAGGTTGGTTAGTTGTTACTTTTATCGATCTTTTCCTAGCATCAGCTTTTGGTTTCATGAAATTTTTTTCCATTGTGATTTTTGTTGTGATAGTTATTATTCTTATCCTACTTACTTTGGGGTACATTGTCTCTAATTTCTTGAAGTAGATGCTGAAGTTTTTTTTCTTTGAGATTTTTCTTTTTTTCTGCTGTAGTAGTCACATGCTGTGGAACAAAGAGGTAAGCCCCACCATTCATTTCCTCTTGGT